CGGGGCCCCCGATTGCGCACGCTGCTTTACCTCCACTACATTCAACTGTTGCTTGTTTTTCGTGAAATATTATTCCCGTGACACGGCCGCCGCGGGGCCGGGCCGGGCCCGGCTCGGGAAGGACTTTCCCTCCTCGGCCTGGCCGGCGGGGCCTCTATTGCACCAGCACCAGCGCCGGCGGCCGGCGGCGCGGCGTCTTCTAGCAGCTCTCCGACGGAATACTTATGAGTCTGTGATTGAGCGACGCACCCGGGGCCGGGCCGGACCGCGGTCCGGGGCCGGCCGGGGGGCCCCCGAGCGGGGAAGGGAATTAAGAAAAGCAGCTGCCATGCGCGAGTCATGCGGGGGAAGGACCGAATTCAGCATCAGAGAGAGAGAGAGAAAGAGTGGACCAGAGATAGAGAGAGGGAGGAGAGAGACACTCACGGAGAGAGAGAGGTATTTAGGCGGGTACCTCTCTTCTAGTGACGCAACGTTCGTTTTACTGCCGGGGATATCCGCGATGCGCCGACAGGTGTAGCCAGCGTATATATACACGGCTAAAAAGCAGGGAACGGGATAAAAATGGCGTTTCCATGTAACTTCTCTCTTCTTGTGAGGGCGCGGCGCGCTCCTCCTGGCGGGGCGGGGCGGCGCCCGGCTTCATATCCGTTTCCGTCCCAATAAAGCTCATCAAGGCGGAGAGAGGGCGAGGCCGCCGCCGCGCTTTTGGGACGGAATCTGATGTTTCCCATCGATGCCTTCCCTCATTGCTTTTGTGCGCGGCGCGCGCTGTTTAAAAGTTCCGCTCGCGTCGCCGCCGTGCGTTCGAGGCGGCAATTAATATGTTAATGTCCCTGGCTTGGTGCGGGTGGGGCCTACCTCGCGCTCGCGCGCACGCCGCCGTTACACTGTTGTACAAACGTTTTATCGTTTTCGCAACGTTACATTCCGTCCGACAAGCTTTGCTACAGGCGTCTGCTGAGGCGGGTATACTACTTCACTAATGCCGCAGTCTGCCCAGTCGGTCCTATCGCAATAGCGCTGAGAATGTTGTGTGGTTGTTGTTGTTGGTTAGTGTGACCTCGCAGTGTGAGGGTGGAGAGGGAGGGGGGGCTTGGGTGGGTGTGTTTAGAGGAAATCTTTAGGCCTCCCGCGCATGCGTGTGTGTCCAGCTGGGTAATAAGCATGCAGGAAGTGGGGTAAGTGTCGTAAAAGGTGTGTGTGTGTGTGTGTGCCTACCGGGTACAGCGCAGCCTCCCCGGTCAAGGTAATGCGTTATGGTAATGCCCATTGCTCTGGATATACTTGCGGTGCGGGGAAAGGTTAGGCGCGCGCGCGTGTCGGGCGGGGCGGGGCGCGGTCGCGCGGCCGCGTCTACTGCCGCAGTTCTCAGCTAAAATCGTACGCGACTACTCGTGCGGTACTCTGGGAAAAAAGTAATACTAAATAGAGAATAAGTGTTTACTGATGACTGATAAAGTAAATTATTGAGGAACTGAGAAAGGTTGGTGTACGGAATTCGAGTCACACATTCCTTCCTGCTGCCGATGTGTGTGTGTGTGTGTGTGTGTGTGTGGGCGGGGCGCGCCGGCTAGGAACGCTAATCGAATGAGATGT